GTGCAGCCGTGGGCCACGTCGAGAAACTCCGAAACCCCGCCGAAATTACCGCGATTACTGACGAATCCTCGCCGCCCCAGCAAGACCGTACGTCGCCAGCGCAGCTCGACATTGACCCTAAGCTTCCGGACCCTAAACTGCGTCAGCTGGTTAACCTCCTCGCCGAATACCGCGACTGCTTTGCGACGTCGTCGAAGGTGCGCCAGACCGCGGTTGCCAAGCACCGCATCGTTACCGAGGACGACGCGCGCCCTGTGCATCGATCGCCGTACAGAGTCTCCGCTAAGGAAAGGGAGGTGATCCATCAGCAAGTTCAAGAGATGCTGAATGACGACATAATCCAACCTTCAAGCAGTCGATGGGCCTCTCCAGTCGTGCTGGTTAAGAAGAAGGACGGAACTCTTCGGTTCTGCGTGGACTACCGGCAGCTCAACACGGTTTCGAAGAAAGACGTCTACCCACTCCCCCGCATCGACGACACTCTAGACCGGCTGTGCCACTCTCGATACTTTTCATCGATGGACCTGAAGAGCGGCTACTGGCAAATCGACGTCGACGAACGGGACCGAGAGAAGACAGCCTTCGTCACGCCGGATGGACTGTACGAGTTCGAGGTGATGCCCTTCGGACTATGCACAGCGCCAGCAACTTTCCAGCGTGTCATGGACACCGTACTGGCAGGGCTGAAGTGGCAGAGTTGTCTCGTCTACCTTGACGACGTCGTAGTATTTTCAGCTGACTTCGACGAGCACTTGAGACGACTCCGAGCTGTTCTTCAAGCCATTCAGACCGCCGGACTCACACTCAAGCCGTCAAAGTGCCGGTTCGCCTATGACAAACTGAAGTTCCTTGGCCACGTGGTTAGTAACGAAGGCGTCCGCCCAGACCCGGAGAAGACTCGCGCCGTCGCGGCATTTCCAGCGCCGACAGATCAGAAGGCCGTGCGAAGATTCCTTGGACTTTGTGCCTATTATCGACGCTTCGTTCGGGATTACGCAAGGATTTCCGCACCACTTACGAATCTCACGAAGGACGCCGAGAAGTTCGAATAGGCCGAGGAGCAACAGCAGGCATTCGACGAACTGAAACGACGACTCCAGACTCCTCCTGTGCTTGGACATTTCGACCAGGATGAGGAAACAGAAATTCACACGGACGCAAGTAACGCAGGACTGGGCGCAGTACTAGTCCAAGTGCAAGAAGGCATCGAGCGAGTCATCGCCTACGCAAGTCGGACATTGTCCAAGGCGGAGAAAAATTACTCCACAACTGAGAAAGAATGCCTTGCGGTCGTCTGGGCAATAACGAAGTTTCGTCCGTACTTGTACGGGAGCCCGTTCCGTGTAGTCACGGACCACCACTCGCTCTGCTGGCTTGCGAAGCTGAAGGACCCGTCAGGACGCCTCGCTCGATGGAGTCTTCGACTGCAAGGGTTCAACATGACAGTGGTCTATAAGTCAGGCCGCAAGCACAGCGACGCCGACTGCCTGTCCAGAGCCCCCGTCGAAACCCCTTCCGGCTGCAGCGACGACAATGACGACGAGTGCTTCCTAGGAGCAGTGAACACCGACGATATGGCACGACGTCAACGGGACGATCCTGAGCTGCGCGCATTAATCGAGCACCTGGAAGGGGGCAGGAGTACCGTGCCACGTGTCTTCTCACGAGTACTGCCGACCTTCGCCATCCGGCAAGGTGTACTCTACAAAAAGAACTTCGGCAACAACAACACACCGTGGTTGCTGGTAATCCCGAGTGACCTTCGAGAGGAGATCTTCCAAACCTGCCACGACGACCCGACATCCGGACACCTTGGTTACAGCCGAACACTGGCCCGTATTCGTGAAAAGTATGACTGGCCGAAGCTCCCCAAGACCATCTACCTATACACACGATCATGCCACGAGTGCCAGCGACGCAAGAAACCGCCGACGAGGCCGGCCGGACTTCTGCAGCCCATTTCTCCTCCAACTACACCCTTCCAGCAGATCGGAATGGATCTACTTGGTCCTTTTCCGCCTTCGACGTCGGGGAACCGCTGGATCATCGTCGCCACAGATTATCTCACGCGGTACGCCGAAACGAAAGCTCTTCCTTCATCGACTGCTGTGGAAGTCGCCAAGTTTTTCATCGAGTCCATCGTCCTCCGGCACGGCGCTCCCGAAGTTCTGATTACAGATCGCGGATCTTCGTTCATGGCCCAGCTGACGCAAGATATCCTTCGTCTCAGTGGCACCGGCCATCGTCGAACCACTGCATACCACCCGCAGACCAACGGGCTGACCGAGCGACTCAACAAGACAATCGCCGATATGATCTCTATGTACGTCGACGTAGAGCACAAGACGTGGGACGAGGTGTTGCCCTACGTCACGTTCGCCTACAATACGGCGGTTCAGGAGACCACTGGATTCACCCCTTTCCAGCTGGTACATGGTCGGAAGGTAACGACCATGCTGGACGCAATGCTGCCCCATGAGCCATCTGACAATGAGAGCGACGACGCCCAGGCGGTTGCTCAACGCGCCGAAGAAGTCCGCCAGCTCGCCCGACTCATGATTCAAGACCAGCAACGCGTCGACGCGGGCCGCTACAACCTTCGTCGCAAGGACGTTCACTTCCAGCCCGGAGACAGGGTGCGGGTGTGGACGGCCATCCGTCGCGGCGGCCTCAGTGAGAAACTGCTGAAACGGTACTTTGGACCATACAAGGTACTTCGTCGCCTCGGCGAGCTGAACTACGAGGTGATGCCCGACGGAACAAGAACATCATCACGCCGCCCACCACGACCTGAAGTCGTCCACGTCGTGCGCCTGAAGCCGTACTACGCTCGATAGGACTGTGGATCTTATGTGTTTCAAGTGACTCTTTAGTTTGCCGTTCTTTTTATGTGCTTTGTTTTGTTTTGGGTTGCATCGGGACGATGCACTCTTTAAAGGGGGGAGTAATGCCGCGCGCGCAGCTGGACAAGTAGGCAGCGCGCGCGTGGCCTAAGGGTTATCGCGCTTGCCTCTCGCGCGGAGGGCCCGGGTTCGATTCCTGGCCGCGACGGCGCGTTTTTGTTGACAGTGTAATTTGATGTTCTAGTGAATTCGAGAACCGTCTTGCTGGTTCAAGGTTGGAATGTTCTACACACCCAACCTTCTACGCCGAACGATCCAGAAACCCACGAGGGTACATAAGGGATTCCGCCAGGCGAGCGAATTCAGTTTCGCCCCAGCGTTCGACTGTGCTGCTCCGCCGACTTCGACGCCCGCGACGCTCTGTTATTATCGTTGTACCCCTTTTATTTTTTTTTTGGCACAAGTTCGCCACATTAAACGTTTATTTCTTCCTGTTTATTTCCTATTTTTTTGGTCAGCACCCGTGACAATATATAACTATATAAGAGGAAGTTGTTGAAATAAACGTATAGCTGAGTTTGAGACCTGTCTGTTTTTTCTGTTACTTCTGCTCTTCAAAAAAAAACCCAGTCTCAGGGTAAACGACGAAATGGTTTACACTCTAACAGAACCCTATAAGCCATGAAGTATCAATACAACTAGGGAACAGGTAAATTAGCAATAGTACCACCGAGATCTAAGAAATGCAGACATTTGGTTTTAAAAAACATGCAAAAAAGGCAACAAAATTGTTAATTTCACTGTTCGAGGTTTCTAAGCGATTTTTTTTAGCTTTTGTTTTGAAGTTAAATCCAACATATGATCAGGCAGGTTGTTAAACACCTGTGGCACATAATAATCTGTGTTCGTTCACCATAAGGGTGTTTTGAAATCAGAGCTGCAGAAATGTCGGAGGACCACCGTTCCTCTAGAAAGCCGCATAAAGGGCGGAAAATTGAGTTTATGAAATATAATGTCACCCGTGGTATCTTGCCTATTAAAAGAAACAATTTTCAAAACACTTTCTTGTAAAGAATTAATTCTATTGCGCCAAGCAAGGGAGCATTCTGAAAAAAGGAATATACCGTATCGTAAAAAGCTCAACGCGAGATCATGTGCTAAAGTTTTACAAACAAAGACAGGACCAAACATTTTTATAATATGGAGAAAGCAAAACACGCTTCTTAACCTTTTCCATAAGTGTGCCATGTATGTGTTGCTGGCCTAATCACTGTCAAAATATATTCCAATACTGTGGGGATTGTGATCCCTCAACATTCTGTCGCGTCAGCGTTTTGGCGCGCCGTGGCGGCCGCGCTGGCGTAGCGAGAGGCGGCGCTGCTTACCACTGTGAGTGGCTTCCTCCTCTCTCCCCTTGGGGCGATTTCCGTAACGAACCCCCGCACAAAGGAGATCGACGTGTCGCTCCTTGATTGGCCACTTCGCCCCCGCCGTTATCTTAAAACCAGCGGACAGCAGTCTCGCTCTCCTCTTCTTCCTGGGATTCGGCGGCGGCGACAACGGGGACCCTTCCGGCGCACCGGTGAGCGTTTACCCCGTACTTTGTACCTTTGCCCTATCGAAAAGACCATCAGGAAAATCCTGATGGTCTGATGGTCTGATGGAGTCGTATTTTGGGACGGCTAATGGTCTGATGGTTTGATGGTTTGATGGTCTGATGGTCTGATGGTTTGATGGTTTGATGGTTTGATGGTTTGATGGTGTGATGGTTTGATGGTTTGATGGTTTGATGGTTTGATGGTGTGATGGTTTGATGGTCTGATGGTCTGATGGTCGAATAACCTGTCGTATTTTGGGACGTCCATTTTTAATAATTGGATTATGGTGGTTTGATGGCTAATTTGAAACATTGAAGTTCGAGTTGGCCACCACTTAAACAAATGGTTGAGTGCAAAGCACGACAATATGTGAATGCATAATGTGGAAATTTAATTACGCCATGTTTGGAGCGTGACGAAATGCATGTCCCACTTAGAATTGAATTATATTGTCCACTGCACACTAGTAATCACCAGCCTGATGTATGAGTACGGCAAATGCAGCTACTAATAAGAATAAAGTCAAACAAGCTGCGTTGCTTTGATATGTTTATTATGAAATTATGACATTATACATTGCTTTGCTGGGAGCATATGGTACAGAAAAACCACAACATTTGAGGAAGTAACATCGTGACTAATATGAGTTGAAATGTCATGACGCGTGGCATGGGGTACTATCAGCACCACCTGTCAGATTTTTCAGCGAACCTCAGTGTTTGCTGAGGTTTAGGCAGATTGCTGATTGCACTCATTGCACCACTATGAGCTAGATTTTGACACGGAACGGCATAGTGGTGCAATGAGCGCAAGCGATTTGTCTCCACCTCAGCGCATGCTGAGGTTTACTGAACAATCCGAGAGACAACTCTCATAGTATCGTGCGCCACGCGTAGTGGCATTTCAGCTCGTATTGGCTGCAATAATACATTTGTTCCATTTCAACAGTATTTCCAATATATAACTTAAGCTAAATTAATATAAAAAAAACGGTGAAAAGGCTGCATCGAGTGCAAGCGATGGCAGACCTGCAGCAGCATGAGCAGTCCGTGGCGGGACCATACGTTGGGGCAGGACAGGGCAAAGGGATGAGCCTGGACATATCAAGGGCAATTTAGTGACCAATGAGACCAAACACGGGAAGATTATTGACATACGTCAACAAAAGAGTGGGCCGAGAGACGACAGAGGGACAGTAAGAGTGACATGCTTCATTGTAATTGTGTTACCATGCAACGTTTTGGGGATTTATTGAGCACAGCCTGACGGAGTAGCAATAGCAATCAAGCAACCCACAGCCTTTTCAAGTGGTCAGCTGATCAACACACTACTTTAAAGTTGTTTGCATAAATATTTAGAGATATATTAACCTCTAAATAATTTATCTATACCATAATTTAAAATAATTGCTTGTAAACTTGAGACCCAAAATAGTATGTTACTTAATTAAGAAAGTTATACTATACAAGCACATACCTTTTTAGCGATTTCTCCTCAGATCCGACAGCTTTTCGGACAGGTACCGGCGCATCTTCTGGTGCCGGGCTGCCCTTTCAGCCTGGCGGTACCCCCTCTCCCTTAGGTATAGCCAAAAGCAGCCTGGAATATGGAAAATCCAGGGTAATAATTCTTTGCAGTGCTCAGACCTAAAGGAATTTTGAACCAAAATTTGGACTTCAGAATACAGAGCAGGAGCTGTAGGCGGGACGCTACAATCCCTACAACACTACTAGTAAGGCAACATTTCGAATGGATGGCCGTATTTTTAGAAAAAGAGGTTGAGATTGAATGAGGCCGACGAGGCACGTGATGTGAAGATATCTCGTTTCCTCCTTTCTTCGCTTTGCCCCCTCAAAGCGGCGAGGCGGAGAAGACGCGAGGCCATTCCCTCTCTTTCTTGGAAAAACAAGACGTAAACATATCTGTCAAATGCGCCTCTTTTTTTTTTTAAATACGGTCATCCATTCGAGATATCTCTGTCTGAGTGATGTTTTGGTGTTCGTAGCATCCTGTTGCACGCTTTTGCCGCCGTGTTTTGCGGAATCCAGATTTTTGTTCAGCATCCCTTTAAAACATTGTAGAACACCATACACACAGGCTGGAGGGTCATAGTTTAAGAAGACCAAGTGTAAATTAGTCTTAATGGAAGCAGTTAACTGGCAGCTGGCACCTTAGAATTTAGACAGTTCAGAGATTACCATAAAAGCAAAAGTACCGCAGCATCCTGATGCATGTTCCACTCCCACCCTGGCTTTCGTTAGATTCTTTTAAGCACAAAACAGGTAACCCATGTCTATAAATCTCACTGCTAGGCCAGTGACTTTGTAAGAAACAGGAGCTGCAACTGGAGATAAGTAGACAATGAACACTGAAAACTGCTTACATTTGGTCCTCATCTCTCGCTGTGGTAACAGCTTAGACAGGCCACAGAATTTAAAAATAGAATTATGAACAGCAGAAACAACCAGTGCAGTTCTATATAAAAACAATCTTTCACATTCCTTAAAAGATCGTCCATTCATGGCCTGGCTACAATATTTATAACCCTTTTTGGTAGCACTCTATGAGGTAGTCTACCTTATATGTTCACCTAACTTTAAATTTTAAGTTAGGTTACCCTCAGGATATTATAGCTGCTTGTTTTTGCTTAACCTTCTAAAAGACTCCAAATCATTATTTCTTTACTTAACCAATATAACAATCTGAGATCTCCATAACAAAGCAATCCTTAGGTTCGGAGTCACTTGAACAAAAAAGAGAAACTGATGGTTTAAATGAGTTCAGAACATTTACCCCCTACAGTTGGCATACATCATAAAAAGTGCATTTCACACCACGAATATACATGTCAGCAAGTCGATTATGACCATAAGAAAATTAAATGCAAATGCTAAGAGGAACAGTTTATGTTGCTTTTCTTCCCTGAAACTAATAGCCAATATAAGTGAATACCTTTCGTAGCGTAGGCTATTAAAAACAAGGGAATGTTTGTTCCTGCATTTTTGCACATTTCTCTTTTAGTTCAACATGCTGCTTTGAATTTTAATCTGATGCATGTGTCCCCACTAAGAAAAATAAGTAGATAAAGCAAAACAAACAAGTTTTCATAATGCCGAAGTTAAATTCCTCTAGGAATTAATTGGTGCTTTTCGAAAAAATGTGCTTGCACAAGAAGTTACACAAAGTCCAGAATGTAGCTTAGAGTAAATCTTAAAGGGGCACGGAAACGGAATTCCAGAGCTCATTTGCTAGCTTGGATATGGGCTAAGTTGCAGTATCACCTCGAAAACAACAATCTTTCGTTGAAAGGCACGAGAAAACTAAATTTAAAGCTAGTTAAACAGTCTTTCAATGTGCACCTGGTGGATGCCCCCAAAGCTTCGTTGGGAAGTAATCTAGCAAGGTTAGAGATCTTGTGACATAGTGGTGACATAACAGAAACCGCTACGTAGCTGCACTACACATCGGAGCAGCGCCGCTCTTTGGAGGTAACTCAACTGTTGGAGTAATCTCGCCCTGAACACGATGACCTTGACATGACTTATCTCACACGTGGGCGCTTAGTTGGCTTAGTCCACGTTGGTCCATGCAAAGCCCACAGGTGTTTCAAATGGCTAGGCTGTAGCATGTTTACACCACCATGCAACCGAACCGCAACTTTGCCGGATAACCCACGACGCATCGCACACTCCGTTGACTTCTCTTCGAGCGCTTGCTCGAGTTTGCGGCTTAGAACGAAAAATAAAACCATCTTTTCAAAATAAAAATGTGCAATTATTATTTACGGTTATTATCTGTTATGCTTGACTTTCATTCTTGGCAGGTCACACGTCCGGGTGTTAGCGGACAACCTACTAGAGTAAAATCTCGGTGATACTAATTGGTATGAATTTCAGAATGAAATGAATTCACAAATTCCACGGTCAAAGCGCAATGCATACAACGTGAAAATTTTCTGGTATTCCAAATACCTCGACATGCTGCAACCACTGATATGAATGCATGCCCCGCATCTGATAATGGTAAGGAGGCCACAATCGGTGACTGTAAGCTCCCAAGGCTCCGGGCAGCTGATTGCCGGCTGCTGCCAGGGATCAGCCGCACTTTGTTTACTCAAAGACGTGAGCTCAAAATTAAATGCGTTTTACAATCGGACACAAAAACTAAAACTAAACAAAATGCTAAAAGAACTGTGCAAAGTGGCCAGCCCCATCACCATCAACACATGCTTCAAATCAAATCCAATCTGAATCCAAATTCGCTGTTTTGTTTTTGCGATCTTGTGGAATCGTGGTTCAACCTTGGAAAAGCAAAACCAATTTTACTTTAAGGTTACCTTTAAAAAAAGTGATCGCACTGGCAAAAAGAGAAAACCGAGTGGTGTTGGTCGTGTCTTCGGTGTGGTCCACGGTGACATGCGAGCTTGGTTGGAAAGACAAAGGAACCGAATATCGAGAGTGTTCGATGTAGGGCTTCAATAGCACCCAGTGTGGGCACTTTCGAGTATGTGAGTTTGATAACATGCTTTCTATGAGGTGTATGTTGTTCAGCCGTCATATTTTATCTGCGCAGTAGAATCGGCACCAATTTTTTTAATATTCATGGGTTGAATATAACTGTGTGTTACTATCGGGGGCATGTTAGAATCGTGCAAATTACATACAAGATATTTTCTGCCATAAATAAATCCATGGTAATGCATTCCTTGTGCTTCAAAATATAAATTTCATTTCGCTTTTGTTGATACGAATTTAGCATGAAATATTTTACGCGACCCCGCGAGGATTGTATCAAGATTTTAAACAAAATGCTTGCTTACCTGAGAGAGCCTGCACCTTGTGCGGAGTAAGTGGGGCAAATGCTTTTTCTTGCCCCGCTGCTTTTGCTTTGTTTGAGAGGGTGCCGGTCACTGACTTCTCTAAAAGCACTTCCACTGGCCAAATGGAAGAGGCCGTGATTTTACAAAACATAGAGTCGCTCTCCGCTTTCTGCATCTCCATCCAGGATTCTTGATTGATGTAGACTCCTTGCCCAGCATGGATCTGCAATAAACAAAACCGAGAAAGTTTTACACATACCAGTCGAGTTGACACAAAGTAGTCCTGTATTCTCCAAGAAGGTGCATCTAAAAAGCACTAAATAATTACAGGTATAAAATTTAGGCCTTTAAATTTAAAACAGTACTACCTTTAAATTCTCATCCACATGGGCATCTGCAAAGTTGATGAGCCCACAAAGCTTCATGTCACTTGCATCAAACAGGTATGTAACCCCTAGTTGCATCATGTGAGCGTGACAATAAAACATTTGCAGGCCCTGGCTATAACTACAATTAAGAGCCTGGCTACAATAATGTTTTAAAGGCTTATGGTAGCAATCAATTCAATCTACTGTGCGTACACCACCCTGTTCTTTTAATGTACCGCATTAACTCGTGTAAGGGCCGCACTATTTTTTCCCGGTTTGAGGGCAAATTTTCTATGTGCAGCCCCATACACGGATTAAAAAAAATAAAAAAAATATCTGTATCCACATTCCGAAATGAACGTACATGAGCACACTCGGCTGCACTGGTCAGAAACGCCTTCACTCCGGAATTCAAACTCAATCGTCAGTCGGATTTAATTAGTTTACATACTGCGCAATACGCATCTTTTTTTTTTTTTTTTTCCCGTACTTGATAGCATGCGCGGCAACTTTTGACTTCAATCCCGTATGACTGTTGAAGTGGTACTTGCCCATAGCTCTCAGATTGCGCGAAAAGGCAGACAAATTGCGACACTTTGACACAAATCGAAAAACAAAAGGAAACCTCCGCAAAGCGTACAGTGGTGTTCGAAAACTTAGTGCACGCGCGAGCCGAGCCCGCTAAATCCCCATTCCTCGCGCTTGCCACGGAACCTGACATATCCTTTATCTTTTCTCAACGCCTTGCTGCAACACAAACGCATCCCATTTGTGCCGCCGACCATGATCGAGGTCGACAGCCATTATGCCATACGGTGATACGGATGAGTGGAGAGCAGATATCAGAGATGCGGACACGTGCTGCTATGTGCTCCGGCAGAGGCTAGTGCCACCTAGCGATACAAATTCATAGAAAACGTGGCATTACAGTCGGCACGCCTCAAAAACAAGGGGGTGCGGTGCATACGCAAATAATTTCAGTAATTTTTTTTTTTTTTTGCAATGCTTTGTTCTAAATATGGGGGTGCGGCCCTGACACGCGATTATACGGTATACCATACATTGCATGGAACTGCGAAAAAAATTTTATTTTACCATTTCATCCTCATTTTGGAGGCCGATGGTGTGATCCACGATCTCGTTCTTAGCAAGGCCGTCCACCTCAGCAACTGAAAAACAATTTCACATTAACTAAAGTTATGACAGTGTAAAGCTTTTGAATTTACATTAATACAAATGCAAACAGGATCATGTTAATATTCAGATTTTTCTATACTCTAGGAGCTTGAAGAAACTCTTTGCAAGAGCTTCACTAGTGGAACACGCAGTAAAACATCTAGTAGAACCCCGATAATTCATCTTGGTTGGTTTGAAATTTGTATAATTATATACATATATATGTATAATTTGCAATATTTCCATGGTTCCGTAACTTTTCATGAAAAACGTTCAGCCTTTCCATTCTTGTGAAGAGGGAAGACCAGCGGAGCTGCACTCGATACACTGCTGCAACGCGCACGCGCCCGTTTCCCGATTCTTCTTGTCCGACACGCCGCCGATCGTGGATACGTCTCCGTTGACCCAGAGTCGATTGCACTAAAGCCTGTCTATCCTGGGAAAAGTGGCGCCATTCATTGTTGCAGAAATGCTCGAGGCATGTGCCGCACCCACTTCTGAGAAATTCATGGCGTTTGAAATCTAACTCAGTGCTGCGCTGTGCCACCATGATCTTCCCAAGGGCTGCACGTGCCTCGTGTATCGATGCACCTTGCGCTACTTTCGAAACATGAAGGAGCTTTAGGTCGCACACGGTGCACGAGACGCCAGACGGGTAATCCACGGACTCCCTCTGGAACATCACCGTCGCGCCCGGCAACTGTTTTGCCGGCGTGGAGTGCAGTCGTCGCCGGGCCTCGCACTTGCGTTTGGCCTCCGTGGCACGATCGTCATCCGTGGTGTTGGCCTGCCCACGCCCTTTACATCGCTGGTTTTGTTCTCGGCGGCGGCTTTCCAGGCAAGCGATGTGCTCTTCTTTGGCAAGGGAATCTGAAGCGCTCGACGTAGTGAAGTCGAGGCGACAGCGGCTTTGCGGTGGTTACGGACCCATTCGCACTGCTGCGTACGTCGCCGCTCTTTCCGCAGCCAGTCTTCTTTCCCCAAAAGGGCACGCGGCTGACCCATCGTAAGTCCAAACCGAAACTGACAAGAGCGTAGGAAACAGTGTGCTAAACAGACGAGGACAAAGAAACACATGTGACGAGCGCTGCGCTCGTTACGTGTGCTTCTTCTTTGTCGTCGTCTGTTTTCGCACTGTTTTCTACGATGAATTCCCACCAACGCGCCGCCCAACAATCCATTCTTCTATGATAGCTGGAAAGGTTGCCGCCATCTACCAGCGACGGCGGCCACCAGACTGGTTGTGTGCTTGCCGCCGTCGCTTATAGATGGCAGTAGCTGTCCAGAGGCGTTTTTGTCGACAAGTGTTTTGTACCGGACACGATCCTCGGGAACCAAGCCCTTAACAGCGCCGCTGTAAAATATAATCCGATAATAAGAGCGCTCGCGCTTGCCTGCCCGGCCGATTTGGTCTTCCAGGTTTACTTTTTAGTTGCTAGGCGGCACAAGTTGGCATCCTTATCCAGCAGCAAAAACGAACATGGCACACGTCTGTTGTTTTGTTTCCTTTTTTTCTAGTCTGTGCACTTTGTTTTTTTAGCTTTGGCACGCTTACCAAAGGCGCCACTGTCATCTCGCGTAGAGTTCCTGATCTGCGTCACTGATCAGGAGGGGTTCTTGTCGTTGCGCCACAGTAGTTTGGGCCGTTTTGAGATGCACACGCTTTATAACCATTCTTAAGAACAAGGCGAGGATGGTGAAGGCATACAACAGGTCTAAAATAGACCTGTTGGTTATCGGTCTATTTCTTCTACCAGTACACCGAGCAAACGGAACCTTGTCTATTGCTCGACTCAGTGGTGCTCTAATTCCAGTGGCAACAGCTCTGCCAAGTCCTTTGGGTTCCCGAATGACGAAAGGTAAAGACGGGCTGCTATACTTTTGATTATACAGTTTCGGATTGCCGAAAACTTGCTGCTGCATGTTTCATTATGGTAGAGTTATTGTAGAAGGTCAGAAGGGACAGGGCATTTATCTTAAAATGAGCGGTGTAGGCAATATCGGTGTTAGAGCACCGCAGCTCGCTAGCATGTGCGTGGAGCAGCTGGCGCTGCAGAAGGAACCTGCGAGAGACCGTGGCGATCGAATCACAGTCGCTAACTACTGCAAAGTTAAATGGGTGATTGCAAGTCTGTGAATACTTGAATAGTAGTTTTGTGTAGATTTTGTTACTTTGTTGTGCCGTGCAGTAAAAATTTTTTTCTGTATAAAAAGCGTGCCTAATAAAAAAAGAACTTGCAAAAGAAGTTTGGACTTGTGCTCAGAATGGCGATGTGCGCACATCTTAAGCCGCGAAACAGCACCGGCTGGGCGCACTCTGCATCCATTGATTGACGATTTAATGAGAAGTGGCTGTCACTGAACATGCACTGCTGCCAAGCCGATCTCAATCGAACGACGCAAAGTCAAGTGCAATCGTTTCGGAAGCGTTAGACATTCGCAAAAAACGCACACTTTTTTTTTTTTTTTCTACAAAAGATTACATTGTTTTGTAGAAGAACAAGATAGGATGCAAATTCGTTTGGAGTTCGGAGGCTGCTTCGAACTCCGAACGAACTTGCATCCTTTTGTCGCCGAGGGTGAAAGAGAGGTAGAGGAGGGACAACACTTCTCACACCCTCCCCCATAACCAAGCGGTTGCCATGACGACAGCACGCGTATTGTTTTGTCTTTTTCTTATTCCTTTTGGAGAAACCCAACGCCCGTTAGGGGAGATTTGGCGCTGCCGTCTGCAATTGGAGTCCCAATGGGAGGTACAGGAAGATTCCGCCGGTTGACTAAAGTATGGGTTCTGTTAGTATGATAAACATCCGAGTACCCAAAGGTCGGGCCATAAATAACTTACGTGGTGGGCAGTCGGGCCCTCCAGCATCTCCCGCAGGTAGTCCTGCAACTGATCAAAAAGGTCGGGTCAGAGAAAGGTGTTTCCAGCAGCCCTGGCTAGTAACTTCATATAAAGTCATGAATTTTGGCACTAGAAAGGACCATATACAACAATTCTACAAGCCATCCGGTGTGCCCCCTAGCAGCATTACTCATGCGCATCGGGGTGTAGGCAGAAAGCGCGGCATTCCACATCAACAAATCATGAGGATATATTGTCGCAGGCGCCAGTTTGGGTCCTCATGCTATTTTTAGGCGATTTAGTTTTCTTTGTCTTCCTTGTAACGCCCGACTGTTCTAGTGGCCTTTGTGAAATGGAGAAGGCTCGGTAAACCGTAAAGCGTTGCGTGAATGGTGAAACAGAGCAACCCCAAGGAAGAATAAACGCTATGAACTCAGCATGACATTATGCTGAGTGTTGGCATTCGGAAGCTGCTTTCCACACTCGCATTTTCTGCACAATCGGCTCTCTTTCTGCGTCAGGTGGACCAGTTAGTTGCGACTCGTTTTGGTCGCTGCTAGCCATATCTGGCATAAGCACATGGTCACATTTCAAATCGTGACATGAAACAATATGCAAAAAATAAAAAAGTTTATGTTCGTAACTTTCTGCCAATCTGTGTCGTAGAAAACAACTTTGGCCGTGTGACTGAAATTACCTAAAGACTGGCTTTCCAAATGAACACTACGATCGCAAAGCTTGTCTTAGTGATAAATGGTCTCAAGCAGTAAGCAACCTTGATTCTTACTAAATCATTCATACTAAAGCTGCAGTACCAAGCACAAAGATATTGTCAGTCTTTATGTCAAAATGTGCTTAATTTTGTCGTCACTATGCAGATAACCATCACTGCATGAACTTTTCATGAACACTGTGATGCATATTCATAGTGATTTCGTCACCATATAAAGCTGATTCAACACGATTCACTTTGCCACTTGTCCAAAAGTTTGACTAATTATCTAAAAATTTACAAGTCTGTAGCAAGCTCCCGCCAGATGCACCCAAACCCAAGTAATGCGTGCGTCAGGCAAGATCGCCAACAGCAAGATCACATGCGTCACTCACAGAGCTGAGAACAACTCATTTTTAGAAACACAAGGCACAATCCTGATAAAATAATAGCTGCTAAATGTTTCTTACCTCCACTGGCCACAGCTGCCACTGGGGCTGGGCTAGGTGGGGCTGGGACTGGCCTAGGTGGAGCTGAAAATAATCCAGTTGTTAATAAAACTTGCAGTACAATGCTGGTGATTAGTGCTACTAAATGTTTCTTACCTCCATTGGCCGCAGCTGCTACTAGGGCTGACCTAAGTGGGGCTGAAAATAATCCAGTTGTTCATAAAACTCACAGCACAATGCTGGTGATAAGCGCTACTAAATGTTTCTTACCATCTTTGGCCGCGTCTGCCACTGGGACTGGCCTAGGTGGAGCTGGGACTCGCCTAGGTGAGGCTGAAAATAATCCAGTTGTTCATAAAGCTCAGTACAATGCTGGTGACAAGCACTACTAAATGTTTCTTACCTCCAATGGGCACGGAGATCCCCGCTTGAACAGCCGCTGTTACAGCGACCCCTGGCACTTGTTCAGGAAGGGCTAAGAATAATCCAACATCCAATATCATGCCTAGCACACTAGAAATATGTATCAGTTCCATCTAATGACCTCTTTCATGGATCAAACTTCCCGCTTAAAAGGCTCAATATAATGCTATGCCGAAACAGTTTCACCCATCTTCAATAAATGCACTCTGTTTCTGGGACCAAATAATGTCACCTAGCTGAATCAATAGTAAAAGAGGTCTGTCCCACATACAATAAACCAGCAGTGGATGGCAAATTAAGGGAAGTCAGCCATTAGGCTGACTTCCCTTAATTATAACGGCTACCTGGGCATGAACTGTACATCTGCAAACAATACAAATGACGACACTAGGTACATGTTTCTTCAACAACAGCCATCCTCACAATTGTTGTAACCTTTCGGTATGTCAACAATACCCCTGGCACACAGGGAAATCAATGTCATTTTCAGCGAATGTCATTATTCTTGCAGACCGTGCTGCACATACATGTTTAACGTCATTAGACTCCATGATGATGATTGAACACCAGTCATTGTAGCAAACTATTACATTATTATATTTTAGAAAAAAAGCACTGCCTGTAGCAGGGTTCTTAAACATTTAGCAGGGTTCTCTAACCTTTTGGTCCCACGGAACCCCAGGAAACCAAAAAAAACTGCCTCAAATTTTTGCCGACCAAGAAGCAACAGAAGCACAATCGTAGGCAATTTCGCTTGCTTCTCATATATTGCCACCATATCATTCGCAATGTTAGTACAAAGTGAGATGAAGGCGCTTTGCATGATCCTGCCGCGCAGACCACGGCGTGGGGGACGGAGGGGCAGGAAGGTCAAATTTAGGTGTTTGCGAAACCCATGAGACTAGCTCTCGGAACCCAGTTTGAGAACCCCTGGTCTATAGCTTGGAACTGTCTCCTAGATTATTTAAACACAATAATAAGCAGATCTTACGCTGGATGGTATTACTTTGTTATATTATTAGCATTATTGTAGGTTCCGGATTGGACACCAACGCAGCAATTCGAAGCCGAAGCTACATTGCGATGTAGCAACATAGCCCCTGTGGTGCCACGGCTGTTATTAGAGCGTGAACCTGGTGATTTTGCATGTGCTTGACTTCTGGCAACCGTACTTATGTGTCTACGTGCGAAAGATCGCACAGAACTGCAGAGACACAAATTAAAAGTGGGAGCTGCAAAACATGTTGCAAAACGTTCAGCACTGTTTGCTCGCGTGCTCATTTGCGGTGGCTCAAGTCTTACAAGTGTTCTTCCCCTGCTCTTACGAGGGCAAACGTCTCAGCTGCAGACCAGTGGGCTTTCTGATTTGGTTTTTCTGCCTCAGAAGCAGCTCACATTGAAGCGGGGAGATCCATAGCCAAAACGTGATCAAAACGCCGAAACCGCCGTTGTCGACTTAAAACTAACATGGCCGACCATCAGGCGCCAAATTTGGTGGATGAGAACACGAGTAATTATTTTACATTCTGCACTCTACTGTCTTTTAGTTAAAAAAAGAAAAAAGAAATGCATATCTACTAACATATGTCTGAATAACTCGTAATTTGTACCTTTTACAGCGGAGCTGTTATAGGGCTAGTTTCCCCAGGATCGTGTCCACCGCAAAAGAAATGTTAACACAAAACTCTGGTTGCCGCCGTCACTCATAGATGGCGTAGCTGTCCAGAGTGTTGTGTTTGTCGGTTGTCTGCTTGCCGCCGTCACTCATAGTTGATGCAACCTTTCGAGCCTTTCCACTCTGGCTTGCTGACTTGTGGCCGGCCATTACTTCATTCCCACCATAGTACAACTCCGCTGGTCTTCCTTCTTCACCAAAGTGGAAAGGCTAAAAGCTTTTGTTATTATTATCTCAGATTACTGCGCCCTACAGTGTCTCTGCTGTCGAGATAACACAGTTTGCATGAAAGTGACTGCGAATGAGTTCGGCATAACTCAATCAGTAGTGAATGCCATTTCCAGTAAATGTCATTAAATACTGCCGTATGGCAGCAAACGAAAGACACTTCAGGCCGAATGTCATTTGCTGGTAATGACATTATTTTTCCCGTGTGACAGCGGTATAACTCAAACACTGAATAAACCTAGAGTCCCAGACATTGTTTAGACCTGATTGTCCATAAATTTCGAGAATTACCAAATAAGCATGATATGAAGTTTGGCATCGAGAAGGACAGCATACACAAACTTTACAAACCATTCGGTATTGTTGCAATAGTATACACAGCTGTACCACACAGCAGCTTGTGCCACATAGCAGATGGCTGCATACGTAGTCGACACTCATGCATTTTGCTACCACCGACCAGGCGGCACAAGCTGCCGTCTAAAATACAAAGGTGCTCATTCGCGCCCATTCAATCAAATAATGCTGTCGCACCCACTGGCTGCTGGTGTAATTGGAATTGTTCTTGACAACATTCTTAAAGCCGTGTTAAAGTCAAGAAAAAGCACTGTACAAGATGATCATGAGTTGTCGGCAATCTGCTGCATGAGATGGTAGCAAGTTTCACCACACCCCTAAAGTGGGGATTGCACATATCTTTCTTTTTTTAAGCTTTCATGCCTTGTGAGCTTGCCCACTCCATATTTTTCATGTTTCTCTTTTTAACCAATGTGGCCGCGCTTTCGACACCTGGCAATGTTTGTGCATTTCTTTTAGATTTGAGTATCCTTTTACCTTTTCCATCAAAACACCAGTACAATCGAAATGGATGCAGGATCACTATCTACATATTGTGAACTAAGTAAACAGCATTTACCTTTTCCAAGCACTTTTGCGCAAAGAGCAAGCTGCAGCTCGTGGTTTAGTTTAAGCAGGCCCTCGTTCTCGGCCTTCAGGCGGCGAATCTTTGCTGCCCGCTTGTCGAGCTTGGCCCTCAACCTCAGCACCTCTGGGTTCTCCTCCTCCTTTTCCTCCTCCGAGTCACCCAGATACTCCACCAGCTCCTTTTCAACTTGGCTTTTTACACCGCACCTCAGATTTTTTTTTTTTTTCTGAAACGGAAAGGGTGATTTACTAAACAAGCACATACTTGCAGTACTTTGTTTCCTTTGCAAGATTTCCATTAAAGGGACACTGAAATAAAAATTCTCTATTTTACTGCCGGAATGGGTCAGGTATTTTCAGGCAAAACCATTGATCGTCTTAAAACAAAGAAAATTCTCAAGAACCAGTGGGACGAAATCTTGCTCCAGTGCAAGGCTTGCTCGGGACAGTAAAAGTTGAAAAAAAAAAAAAAATGCAGAAAGGAAAAAAGGTTATAGTTGTTCGTTCTGGAAGCGACTGAGACTCTCCCACAACTATATGTCTGAAGTCTCGAAATCGCAGTGTGACCCCTGAATAGGTATCATGACTCACTTTCGTCAGGGTTCCTGACTTTTCTAAGCTGGAGGACCGCTTGGCTGCTGGTTCTGATGCCCGTTCCCGCCTGGCTGATGGCTCCGACAGCTTCTCCTTGGTATCTAGTGGACATGTGATCAGAAGTCAACAAATAAATTCGAAATGCCATCTTAAATATACTTTCCTGCTGATTTTTGACAGTTGGCAGTCTGCCTATTGCAGGGGTCTCAAACACGCGGTCCGCGACTCGCTGAGAAGCGGCCCGCAGGCCCGCTCCTCAGCGATTTTCATGTCTCGAGCGCTAGAAATGACATGTGTCATAGTGATCTCATCTCGTCGATTCATTTTCGCTCGGAAAGTAGCTCCGCTCTTTTCACCTCTTCACATGGTTTATACTTTTCTCTGTTAATTTGCCCTTTGTTTCGCTTTATTCTTTGCTTCCCAGCTTTTCTGTAATGTACGAAAATTCCGCTACCTGTCTACAACCTCGAGCTATTCGTTGAAGGATACATTTCGGCTGCGCAAACTCTCGCTTAGCAGGAGCAAGTGCTAAAGATAAAGCCATGAGCTCGGGATTCTCACCTTCAAAAAAACATCACAATAAAAGACGAGTATTTGTTCAGAGTGTTATAATAAAAATAGTGAGGAATTCAAGAACTGCCAAATTAAATTATTGTTTTTTAAAGACATGTTGAGCTGGGAACGATAGATTACTTGCTCTCTTGTTCTACTAAAAATGCCAGCACGTTGGCGGGGCAGTGTAATTTTAATTTCTGTTATCACATCAGGTCAGTGCCCAAAGTTGTCATATACACAAATCAAATTTAAAAATGTCACTGGCAAAACTGAGAGTTTACAAAAAGCATAGGGCACGAGGTCTCTTCTCATTAAAATGTTCACCCCCCCCCCTACCCCCCCCCCCCCCCCCCCGTCTTACGGAGGCCCTCCAACTTTCCAGTATGGGCTATCTGGCCCTCACCCTCAAACGAGTTTGAGACCACTGACCTATTGGAACTGTACTAAAAATGCCGACGAACGCTTGTATCTACGTCACTCCCTGCTCAGTGAACACTAACAAACAATTGCAATAAGACTAAGGCTATACGCACAACGTCGTGCACCTTGATCGGAAGTGGCTTTACGCACGACACGGAGACAGGGGTGGAACTCATGAAATGTACTTGGGAGCAGCCACGGGAGCAGCCGAAACAGCTGTTTTGGAGCAGGTCGGGAGTAGCTAAAACTACGTTCTGGAGCAGGCTAGGAGCAGCTGAGATCAGTTTTCATTGCACTTCAGCGCGTGTCTTAGACAAGCACGGGAGCAATTTCAATTGTGCTTAGCAGCACAGATGAACATGAGTGGTTAGGGACTTAGGTAGATGGGATAACAGTGTGGATGCTGGGGGGGGGGTGGGATAACCCCCCCCTCCCCCCCTGCATCCACGCCGCTCGCAAGGACAGTATGCAACTGCTGGCTGCTAAATATAAAACTATTAAACCCCCCCGTATACCCCGCTTCGAAGCATCCAGCCGGCAACCCAAGCCCCGCTGTCCCCCATGCACCTCTGGAAAGGGAGTCCCAAACCAATTAGCTGAGCGAAGTTTCGTCAAAAACATTCGGTTTTTTCAGTGTTAATCGTACAAAAGAAATTGCTAAATGCCTCGACAAAACACAATGTTAAAAAAAAAAAAATTTAAAAGAAAAGTAAGTTGACAATGGGGATTGAACCAGGGTTCGCTGTGTCTGAGGGAGACGCATTACCTCTATGCTATGCTACATTTCATTTTATTTATTTCTACTCGGGAGAGACGGGGGTGCGGCAGAAAGGCCAAAGGCAGCCAGACAGCCTGCAAAACCCAAACTAGATTTAAAAAAAAGGGGGGGGGTAGATGAACAATAAACACTAGGAACAACAAAGAGGGGGGGGGGGAGATAAATAACAGCAACAACAAAAGAGGGGGAGGGGGGTAGATAAACAATAAACACTAATGACAACAACACTATGCAGTCAGAAACGGAAAGAAACGCGAACAGCAGGCGGACGGCCCCCAGAGCCATGCCAAAGCCCGGGACCCGCCGAGCTAGGGCTGAACACATCCTACTCGAATGTGTTCGACCCCAGTCCGGCGCGCTCCAAGCTCCAGCGCAGCGCCGGCGGCGCCCCGAGAACCGTCGACCGGCCACCCCCGCCCCATCCCGCCCCGACTGCACATATACAACAAGGATTATGACAGCGAGTGGCGGAGATGACTGGCCACCTCTCGACGAAGAGTTCCATTTCTTCACGCGACGTGGGCGAGCACTGGGTGAGGCTAGTAGGCAGTGAGCGCCAGTGCGCAATGGCCCTCACCGCGAAAAGACGGACGGTGTCTCTCCGTGCAACTTCGCTAATCTCGTATTGACAGCTGGTTTTATACGAGAACCAAAACTTTTCGCGTCGCGAGTCCTTTCTGGTCGAGGTGCAGGACGTCGTGCGTATAGCCTTATTCTTCCAATAAACATACTTGCTCAACACATCTTAAAACGTCAAATAACGTATCGCTAATTAATTACATGCACTTAATATTGTTTTCTGCTCTCCTTTTGACCGACCCGGTACTCTCCGCCGTGTGTGCATTCGCCCAAGACGTGCAGTGACAATTCGCATAACTGCCATACAAACGAGTGTCTAGAGGGTTGAACCACCATTGTGGATATATCACTCACCCGCCAGCTTGATGATCTCTGCATCGTAGTATCCACCTCGAGTGTTTTCGTCCCCATCCCAAAATACTTTGTAAGTCGTCCTCCTTTCAAAGTCAGCCACGTTGGCTGGATGAAAGTTCTTCACAAGAGCTGTCTGGACGATTGATACTTTGCCATCTTGCAGAAATTTCACTTTGGCGAACATGCCCACTGGGAGGGACGCGAGGAATGAAACGTACAAAAAACAAAACACACGGGAAAGATGCAGAAATACGCGGTACAGTACTACAGTAGAAAACGCGAATACGAGGGAATACACTAGGAACCGATACACAAAAGAAACTCGAATAAAATGGCCGCGATGGATCGCGTGTTTGCTTTTGGATTTGGATTTGGATATGAGGTTAGCATCTTGCCAACGCAGTGTTGGCAGATGGGAAAAAAAAGTGAATTCAGTAGATGAGATACTAGAGAAAAATATTATTTTTGTATTCCCGACCGTTCTAATAGATAATATAACTTAATAAATGTTGCACTAATCAAGACACATAAATTATTTGTGGCATCTCCATCGTTTCCGTGACGCCGTCAAGCCTATATGCCGTCAAGCGACCGAAACCGAAACAAACTTTTTTTCAAAATATTTCAAAAAATCTAAAGGGTGCAAACGAGCTGGTAAAGGTATAACGTCATTTAAGGCAAAGCCCGAGACAATGCCGAACAATGTAAAGCCGAGCCCGCCCCCCCCCCCCCCCCCCCCTTTCCCGAAACAAAATTAAAGCTAAGTTCGAGAAAGTCCTGTTTTTTGCTTTCTGCATGTTTTTCCAATTCGCAATTTCCAGAGGCCAAGTGCAGATCACATGCCTTCCAGAAAGATCCATCGTCGAAAGTGCAGTCCTTCTTTCCACGCTGTTTTATACGTATATATTTTTATTCTTTGTGGAAGTGGCCGGAGGGGTGTGCGCGTACGAAACCGTATCGGTTTCCTAAGTACACGCGTACGCGGCTGTGTTGGCTGTGTACGTCTGTGGCAACGAGGTAGTTGGTTTGTGGATGATTAGCTGAATGAATAGACGTATTGATAAATTACCCAACCATCAAGGAGAATGCAGGGATTGGTGTTCCACGCTCCGCCACACGTGCTGGCCTCAGCAGTAGTAACTTTTCTAAGGCAAACCCCTAAAACAAATGACTTCTTGCACACGCGTTCGTCAACGCTTTATTTTGGTTATTTACTTCAAATATTTTATACGGGGAAGGCGTGCGCGTGTGGCGCGTGGAACACCAATCCCTGCATCCACCTTGATGCTTGGGTAATTTAGCAATAGGTCTATTGAGGGCCACATATGCATTGGTTCGTTTTTGTTTTGTTTTTTTAATTTGCGTTTGTTTGTGAACATGAAAGCCAGCACCTTAAACTGCGTATTGTGCCCGTGAATTTATTTTTTTCTGTAAAAAATTGCTAGTAGGTTTTTCTTTTTTTTTTTCTTTTTTTTTTTTTGGGGGGGGGGGGGGAAAGGGAAGGAGAGAATTGGCAGTCAGCGCGCAAAATCGTTCTTTGTGGTTGTGAAAAGATCGGAATGACAGGAAAGGAGCAGCAGCTTTTATTTCTTCTGTGGAGATTGTTCTCTCTTTTACCGTTCTCGGTCACCCTTGTCGATGAGCAAGTGAACGGAAAAAGACAATTAACAAAGTGAAGCTGCTGCTTCTCATTTGTAATAGTACTATAAGTCGTATAAGTCGTATAGTCGTCCCTGGAGTTGTTCAATCGTCAGACTCTGAACGATTCGCACGTCAGACCTAGAGGTAGCAATTAGCTAAGGGTGAGTTCCGCTCGTGGATTTGAAGTGGTTCTCGAGGTGAAATGTATGAATTAAAATGTTTATCTGAAGTGTATAATAGTTTTGCGGTGAAATTGCAAGTCGTTGCTTCATTTCTAATTGCTGAAGCCATGTCTCCAAACTATTCCAAAATTCAATCCAATCCAATCCGAGCCGACCGTCTATTTGGATGTTGGTAAGCCAAGACTTTCGAGGTGCTCTGAATGCTGTGCGAGACTTGTCGCCACTAAAACTCATAATTAGGGCTGCTGGTCGTAGGCTTTCGTTTCTGGCTGGGATTGCTGGTACTCTGCAACGTGATGCTCTGGCTCTACACGCCGTACTCTGACGCCTCGTCTCCTTACTGACTTCCTCATCGTAAGCCTTTTTTGTTTTAAGCTTTAATGGCAGTTGTTTACTCTTTGTGATATCTCGATATTATTTCACCCTTCGGTATGCCTCCCGGGAGAAAACGGCACTATCGGGATTATATGGCACCTGGGGAACAATCGCCCATTCCAAGGCAAACGCTGTGCAACCGCCGCAAAAACAGTAGAGTGTCAGATGGCGATCATGATTCTGTTTACGACCGTGGTTCAACTGACGAACTTGCCCCAGCCGACGACCGTGGTTCATCTGACGAACTTGCCCCAGCTGACGGCCCTGCCCCAGCCGACGGCCCTGCCCCAGCCGACGACCCTGCCCCAGCCGACGACCCTGCCCCAGCCGACGACCCTGCCCCAGCCGACGACCATGCCCCAGCCGGTTCAACTGACGAACTTGCCCCAGCCGACGACCGTGCACTATTTGACGACAGTGGTCCAATTCACGATCAATCTTCAGCGGACTCCACCAATGCTGATCTGACGTTGAATGGATTGGCCGAGCGGGAAGAACTTCTCAGGATAAGTGGTTCAAGCAGACAGAATGACCTCTGCACGCCGATGGCATCCGAGCTGTCAGGCCAAGGTGGCACAATGGAGGACTCATCTGCTGAAAGCTCGGTTTGTTTTGATACTGAACACGATTGCATCCAGGAGCCCTGCAGCGATGAATTTTTCGACTGCCAGGAATCGGTTGCAAGCCCAACTAGCGATGCAGCACCACCAGATGGCATCGAGGACCAAGAAGCTTGTGCTAATGATGAAGATGCTGAGATTCGAGACTACTTTGAACGGGCATCTAAGGAGGCTCTACCAAACCAGACAATGACGAAGGCACAGGCTGTGCTTCTAATCTTGTGCCTTGTAGTGAGCGGAGGATTTTCTTGGACGCAGGTTGACGGCATACTGAAGTTGATCAACACACTCTTTGGAGCCACCATTGTTCCCGACTCAAAGTATATGTTCAGGAAGCTGTGGAGACAAAAGATGAGCACCATAAAGTTTCACTTCTACTGCCACATTTGCTTCTCCTACCTTGGCATTCGGCCATCAAACAAGCCTGAGGAGAAAGTGACATGTGAGTCATGCAAGGAGAGTTACCAACCACGGACATTGATTGCAAAGGGCCACTTCTTCCTGACATTCGACATCAAGAGGCAGCTCCACAGTATGTTTTCAGCACTGGCAGAACCCCTCTGCCACACTTTGAAGAGGACCTTTTCTGATGCCTCTGGCATCTACACTGACATCTTCGATGGGAGATTGTATCAGAGCATCAGGAGACAAATGGAAATGGCTTGGAGTGACGTAACTGTGACGCTCAACACAGATGGTTCGCCAGTTTTCAAATCGAGTAAATCATCGGTGTGGCCGATTCAGGTCATACTAAATGAGCTGCCAATACATCTGCGGTTTCGAAATGTGATCGTTGGCGGACTGTGGTTTGCAAAGGTACACCCACCAGCACATCTCTTCATGAGGACGTTTGTAGAAGAGTTTGTCAAGATTGGATCCATCATCTGGAGTCATGCTGGGGATCCCATTATTTCAAGAGTCTTCGCAGTTTGCTGCTCAGTGGACTCGCCTGCACGAGCAGTGCTGCTCAACATGAAGCAGTTCAATGGTTACTTCGGCTGCTCCTGGTGTCTGGAGGAGGGGACACTCGTGAATGGTATGTACAAATTTCTTTGGAATAGAGTTAGCTTTTATTTTTCTCATTAATGGGTATGACTTAAGAACATCCTTTGTGAAGTGCAGATTTCATATCTTAAAGGGACCATGAAGGCAATTTAATTTTTTTAATAAATAAGGTGTTTTCGGAAGCATTGGGGTCCTGGCATGCCAAACAATTTTTTCTAGAACGTTGTGACTCTTATTTCTGGACCTGAAAATAAATTTGCGAAACCGAAACAAACATTCAGATTTCTTCCTTTTTTCGCCTCTGGAAAGAGAAGTGACGTCAGGGAGCACTGTCGGCATCGGTAGGATTTAGTGCCCACTCAGTGTGGTTCCTGTGGTTCGCTCTAGTGCACGGCGGTCTGTGAAGAAAACCTGGAAGAAATGGACGACAACGCCGCGCTCGCAAACGAGTTTGAGCTCCCAATCAGCGACCTCACGCCGACTGAACGGGAGATGCTGCTAAGGACGCAGAACTCTGGATTGGCGACCGATGCAGCAATGCTGCGCATTGCTGCATCGGTCGGCAGTTTATGCAAATTAACGTCGCCCGATCGACCGCATGTCTTTAGCCGACCTTTCGCACAACCTACTACTGCACATAAACGTGGCATGATTGGTGAGAGTTTGCAAAGCGAACACGAGACGACGCACAAAACCAAAACCAAAAATCCGCCGCCCCCGGCGCTCGTACCTTTTTTTTTTTTTTTGTCCATGGTTGCTTGATGCTTGTTACGCGCCCGAGGTAGCAGTGCGGGATGCGTTCAACCAGTGACAAACGGAGGGATCGCTTCAGGTTATGCTTTTATACACGGTATGAAACCTATTAATTCCCAACTACAACTTCAAAATATTATCCAACGTTCAAATAAACTTTTTTCATCACATCTGACCACCGAAATCGAAACCAAGAGCGCGTCTATCGTTTGAACCAATCGCCAGACGAGGAGCTTGTTGTCGTCACGCTTCGGCACACTTTAGTTCACCTTTCTGCCGCCGCCTCGGTGGGGTCTCAGGCATCGTTCCCGGCGCTATTATTACCGCGCCTGTTTGCTCGATTGGTGCGGCACCCAAACTTCTGTTCGGGCTAGAACTTGGTCAACAGTATCTGAGGCGTGCCTGACATCCATTTCAATCGTCGAATAAAACTTCGAAACTGCCTTCATGGTCCCTTGAAGGTCTTACTTAATGTTTCCTGATCATTTTCTGATAATTTTTATCTCTCCTCTAGAATAGGTTTACTGTGTAAAGGAACTCTCAAAAGCTTTTATGCGTGGCTCAAACGCAGCCCCACACTCGGCTCGAAAAATACATCACAATAAACAGCCAACAAGATTCCTGTGCCTCAAAAGATAAAAAATAAGAAAAATTTGTGGAGTAGTAGTACCTGAAGTGACAGCGTCTTAACATCATTTTCAATCTTTTATAGCGATTACAGGTTCGATTCCCACAAACAGTTAATTTATTTTGTCTTGGTTTTGCAAA